CTCTTTCTCAATTCACAACATGAATTTTACATGAGACAAAACCTTGCAGGTAAAACCATCTGTTTGCTTTGGGCAATGCAGCTGTGAAGACTTCTGCACAATGCAGGACCAGACTTTCCAAATCAACTTGTACTATTGATGGCCTACAGTTTTTGAGACACAAACCTGGATATCATCATTAATTTTTCAGAAGGAAGAATACTGTCTGAAAAGCAAGTTTCTTTAGGTCAAATTGGACCCCAAATCAAGGCACCAAAATCTACAACTCATACTTGACTTCTTCTCAACTATTAATCTCTTCAGTTAAAAGGAGGGGCTGACATTTATTAGTCATAGATTAGCACCTGATAATTTTATGAATCCAACTGTATTTTGGAATGGAGAAAAGATAGCATTAATTTTATTTAGTTTCACGTATCTAAAATCTATTGTCTTTTTGTAACTGATGGTGCAAAGCTGCCAGTTTCAGAGGAAAATTAATCTCACCTATCCTAGACCCTTACTCTAGAGTAAGGTGAATTCCTTCTGGAAGCACTGCTTTCTCTCAGTTACATAAACTTTATATCAGTTTTATATATTTAAAAAAAAAATCTCTGGTTTAAAAGATGTTTTCTTTTATTTAAAACTAATAAACTAATTTAAAACTAAGGGGGGTGTGTATGTGAATCTGTACAGGGTACTGAGTGGTTAATTTGTTTGGGGTTTTTTTCAGTTTAATGTGTTCCTTCTCACATATTTATAACATTATAAGCCACCTGAAAGCTTGCAAAACAAAATAATCAGATTCAAATCATCCAATTTTTATAAACATGCTCTCTGAGAAAACAGCTGAGAAAATACTGGATGCTGCAGCCTTGGATATCTATCTACTTTTACAGTGGAAGTATCATAGATTTCTTTCTTTGTATTAGCCTGAATTTGCACCTCTTCTTTTTCCTCTGTGTCATATCATTTGGCACCTTTGGGATCACTCTCAGTAGATGGCATCACTTAATGCTGCTTCTCTTCTTCTACAGTGAGTTGATCCTGCCTACACCATGTAACTTGCAGCTGCCAGAAATGCCCCTGGCCACCAAAAAAAGCCACTGTCTGGGGCAAAAAAAGACATGACTGCTAGAGGCAGCAGAAACCCTGCAGCCTTGCTGCCTACAGCAGACTGCTGGAAAGGCCAGCTGCTGGCTGTCAATAGTACCTGTTGTTGAGGAAGAGACAAGGATGTTGGAGTAGCATTTGTTGGCTCTGCTCCACCCATTCCCACCAGTGGCACTTGATTCCTTAAGGGTACTATGTCTGCTCTTCTGCTCTCACCTCACCACTATAGGAGAAGCCCGGCTTGATTCTTTATCTGCCTTGTTTCCACTGCTGAGATGCCCTGAGCCAGCTTCAGCTGATATAGCTTCCCCATTTTATGTTGCAAGGACCAAACTTTAAGAATTAGACTGTGACCATGCTAAAGCCCAGGGCTACAGCCCTAGTTGAAACTTGGATCAAGATACGCTGCAAAGGCAAAGCTACATTTACATTGTTAATGAGTTTCTCAATCTGAAAGCTTATAGAGCAGAAATCACATACTCTATCGTCCATGGGCCAAGAACAACAACCACAAAGACTTAACACTCCCTGAACAATGCTGTGCTTTGCATTTTCTGTTGGTTTTAGTTTTAACTTCCTGTGATCATGAACAGAATTTTAAAGGGTTTTAAGTGCAGTATGCTGCTCATGAGCCACTGAGAAACAGTTTTCAGCCTATGATAGCCAAGTTCCTAGGATGTGTGGACTACTTCTAACAGGACTGTGAAAAGCCTGTTTTCAACTGGGTCTACTTTGCTGTTAAGCAGCTTTGACGTATGAACCTCTGCTCAATTACATGGTTGCAATCGCAGTGGAAAAAACCAATAAAGGTACCAGGTATGCTGGCCTGAAAAGCTTCCATCAGCCATGGGTCAATCGTTTTTTTTTTCTTTAAGCACAACTGTGTTTTTGCTGAAGAACGTGCCCATGGATTTATGTAGCTCTGAGTCATCCCTCTCAAGCTTTATCAACGCTTCCCTCCCAGGCACCCCCAGAAGACACTTTTCCCATATCTGCACTGGCACCTACTGGCGAAATCCATCCCACTCCGGCAGTGTGTGCTGTGTTATCCTCATCAGCCCAACTCCTGCATTTCTAAGAGCAACAATTAAAGACCATCTTTTTCTTCCATTTTAATGGCTACTTTGGTGCCATTGGTGCCTTGGAAAGCCTTGTAAGGTGCCAGTAAAGTCCTGACAAGCTAACTTTATATTTTCGTTTTTGAAAAATATATAAACAAATGAAGAATTAAAACACTACAGCTGACATGAAAAAAAGAACAGTCACTGTGGTCAGAGGTCATTGGGTGTTTCTGTTAACCCAGTGGCCCCAGACAGGCAATAAAAGCCTTCAGTTCTTTTATTCAGTTAAAAAAAAAAAAAAAAAAAAAAAAAAAGAAGAAATAAAGTAGACCCATTAGTTAAAATTATCAGTGACAGGTAATCAAGTTGTTGGCAGTCCACTTGTCCTGCATTTTTCACTTTAATCAAGATATGCCCGCTGCTGTGTTTTCACATGCGGTGGCTAGGTTTCCCCAAAGGTTCAAGCCAATTTTATTCTGAGATACTGCTTGATAAAGCTGCCTAAGGGAAATTAATAACGTTGCTGTTTTCACACCTGATTGGTAACTGATGGCCAAGCCTTGCACCAGTACAGGGAGGGAAAAGGCTCTGAATTAAGCCTGAGTTTACTGAAGTGTGTAATTGCCCATACTAGAGATTAAAGCCCTTTACCCTTTGATTGTTGT